ATATAAGAAAAGATATGGTAGATTCATGTGCATGGTAAGTAACGGAAAAGATAACGGAAGTTATAACGGTAAGGATATTTTTGTCCAAAAAATTATATAGTACAACTCTAAAAGCACAATGTACAAAATGATTAGCATTAAAAATATGGACATAAATGAGGGATATAACTTTGATTGAGACTTATTTTGTTTTTATTAGATTAGATTTATTAGCTATTTATGAATTATTAATTGAATTGAAACGTCAATTTAAAAGTGAATATTATGGAATGATTATTTTATGAGAAAATATAGTAATATATTCATTTATTATAATATTTATTAGCTATGAATTATTATTAATTGAAACGTCAATTTAAAAGTGAAAATTATAGAATGATTATTTTATGAGAAAAATATAGTAATATATTCATTTATATGTATAGTTATTAGTTATGAATAATTCTCAGTGATCCTCTAAAAAAAAATCTCAGATCAAGATATTAGCTACTTGTACAGGTTTAGTTCATTGATTCAGTAGACAGTACTTCAGAGGCCAAACTCGAACTTTGACAGCTACAATATAAGAATTATATCTTTATATCTAAAGTGAACAGACGATCCTTTGTGTGCATCGACATTTGACAAAGGATTTATATCCTCCCAATGTTTTGTGGGATCGGGCTGTGAAGACCTTGGAGTTGGGAATTAACCTTTTGGGAGAAGATATTAAGTTCCATAAAAAAAATTTGTCTTTTAGTTCTAACTTGTTTCAAACTAACTTCGAGTCCAACTAAACTTAAAATTGATTTTTTTTTTTTTTATAGAAAAAAAAAAAGTCAGTATACAACATCCAAATTAAAGCTTATCAATTCAAGCAAATCCTTATATGGCATGCATAAAACCATAAGTATTGTTTTACTATATAAATATCTAACATTATCTCTTCCCCATATGTCCATTATGCATGCCTATCAAGCTTCGTATTTTTTTTTTTTTTTTTTTTTTTGTGTGGATGTTGGTTTAAATAAATCAAAATGCACAAAATTAAATGTGTAAATCACAGAGACTTAGCGATTCATCAGGTGGGAGGACTAGTGTCTGATGCCTATACAATAAGGAACCCACCACACATTGGGTGGAATTTCCACACTCCGGTTGCTAGGGTTCAATCATGTGTCATTGCTCACAATTTACCACCTAAGAATCACCTAAGTTAGCCATGCGAGCAATATGCATCATATACTATCACATCGTATGGTGAAAAAATTTGTTCAGTCGTGTAACCCCAAACAATTTAATATTGGATCACACTCGTGTGAGACTGTCTCACGAATCCTTATCCATGAGATGGATCGTATTTGGGTCGAGTCAATATGAAAATATAATACTTATACTGAAAATGTAATACTAATTAGGAATAAAGTGTTTGTTACTTATGAGAAATTGTAATATTATTGAGGACAAATGTAATACTTTTATATTTTGATGTAAAAATATTACATTTTTCATCAAAAATATTACATTTTTCCTTATAAGTAATGTTGGTAAGTGTCCCATACAATACTTATAAGGAAAAAAATGTAATACTTTAGGAAAATTATAATACTTTTACATAAAAAAATTTTAAAAGTATTATATTTTCTTTCCAAAGTATTACATTTCTCTATATAAGTAATAAACATTTTATTTTTGATTTAGTATTACATTTCATCTTGACCTAGCTGTCTCAATGATAAGAACGGTCTCACACAAGTTTATCCATTCAATGTTTATGCATGCATAATCTTTTTGAAACATATTCTAATTTTTGTTCCTTATTTAAAATTTAAATTTTAAATATATGTCGATTTGGTGCACTTAAAGACATTGCATATGTTTGGTATTGAGATATTATATTGTAAATTGTATAGTTATCATTTAAAAAGAAAAAAAAATAATTTGAGATAAGGTTTAGACAATACTTTGATCCATATAATTACAATCATTGCATTTTAATATGATTTTTATATAAAAAAAAAGGAAATAATATACGTGGAAGTATCAATCTTGTCAGTAATTAAATTGTATGGAACTTATAGAGGTGTGGGTAAGTATTTTTTGATCTAACTAGAAGTTTTGTGTTCTAGTAGAGTGAGTGCTTTATCACTCTTGAAATCCTACCTAGCACAAATAGAATTAATTTTGATATGTAGTTGTAATTTTTTTTTTTTTTTTTGAATGGGGTATGTAGTTGTAGATAATTGGTTATATATATATATATATATATATATATATATATATATATATATATATATATATATATAACCAATTATATATACACACACACACAAAGTGAGAGTTATAATTTTTTTTTTCTTTTAATTTCATTAAGGCATCTGAAAGTAGTATAATCAACATATTTCGAACTTAAAAGCTTAACGGAGGGAACTAGAAGTCTTACCAATCATGTTCTCTAGAAGGCTTATCATATTTTGCGTAGTCTATGGGAAAAGAAGAAGAAGATTTTGCCTAGTCTAGT